CTTTGCTGGATTCGACCGAGTTTGCTTGTAGGGGCGCGGGGGAGGAAGGGGTTTTTCTTAGGGAACCGCCGGTGCACTTGCGGTCAGAGTTTAAGTGTATTTTAGCGTGCCGCTCCTGTCATAAACGCGAGGTTCTGTCGCTTCGGGAGCCGTGCGGGTGTGCTCGGGTTGCCCACGCTGCAGGCTGCCGTTCGGTTACTCCTGACCCTCCAGGGCTGTCTCGGACTTTCCTAGTGAACCTCCTTTCTCCCTGCAGAAAAGGTGGTTCTGCACTGGTGGGCCCAGCTCGATACAGTGTATTTTAGCGTGCCGCTCCTGTCATAAACGCGAGGTTCTGTCGCTTCGGGAGCCGTGCGGGTGTGCTCGGGTTGCCCACGCTGCAGGCTGCCGTTCGGTTACTCCTGACCCTCCAGGGCTGTCTCGGACTTTCCTAGTGAACCTCCTTTCTCCCTGCAGAAAAGGTGGTTCTGCACTGGTGGGCCCAGCTCGATACAGCTGTTTTGGAACAAATGTTGATGTTTATTAGAGAGGCAAACCTGAAAATGCTTTTCAGTTTCCAATAAAAATAAGGGGGCAATCAAGTTTCCTAGTAAAACTGAGAAGTCTACTTGTTTAGTTTGTCTTCTGTGTCTTTCTGTTTAGTGTGGTATTAAATATTCACTAAAATTTTAAGCAGCACTTGCTATAACCATCACAGTGGAGTATGAAGAGTAATAACGGTCTCTAGAGTGATGAAAAAACCGAGTGCTTTAGAAAGCAGGGATTGCACAGTTCGTAGGCTTTTGTGACAGACTTTCTTTTTTAAGTTAGTGTATGTTGATATCAGTTTAACACTGTATTCTCTAAGAGGATGTGGGGGGGCAAACCCTGTAATGTTACTTGAAAGATGAATGGAAAATATTTAATTGGGTGATGAGGAGTGCTAAGTCTACATAGATAGCAGTCTCTGGTCTCCATGTAAATCCTTAGTGGTGGTGGTTAACTCAAGAATGATAGAGCTTTCCTCTACCTGTCACTGCCATGGGAACTGGTATCAGGTGATTCAGAAAAAGTAAACTTAGAGCTGTTAAACATGGGATAATCCCCTCTACCAAGTTATGCTCTACTGCCATTTCCTATGGCCAAGCTTGTGGGTTCCTGTGCAGTAAGTACCAGTTTAAACACGTGAAAAATATTTTTTTCTCTCTAGTTCACCTTTGAGCTCCTACACTGTGACAGAGAATAGAAATTCTGCAGTTGCCTTCAGTATTGCAGAGTAATGCTTCCTATATGGTACAAAATGCTTATGCATTTTTTGTTAATTCCAAGCAGCTCAACAACTTTTACAGCAATGCACTGTGTGCACCCAAGCTTCATCTCTAGGCTGGGAGTTCTCCCGATCCGCTTCTGTAGCTAGCTCATCTTCTGTCTTGGGTCGCATTCATTTTAAATGTCTCAGTGGTGATGGTAGGCAGGCCTAATAAAATCCAACTAGGAAGAGGCAGGAAAAACTCCTTGGGTAAATCTCATTCATTGTGGTACTAAACACAAGCACGTGAGCAAACAGAAGGAAGTCATGTCTGGAGTAGGCTGTAAGCATATCAGTTATCCCAAGGAAAGTACTTAATCATTTGGAGATTAGAGGAAAATGCACTTTAGAGTGGAACAGGAACGAAACCTTCTACTTTGTGTTATTTATACTCTGCATCTACCTTAAGATACCTATATTGCTGGAATACAAGCTATTTGCTAGGCTCCACAAGCTTGCCTTGAATTCTGCTGTATTTCAGTACTATGTAATTCTTTCTCTTGAGTACTGCAATTTACCAGATTTTTAAGAGTAATTGGCGTCTGAACTAGTCAACACGTTTACCCGAAATAATAACCATCTCCAGAGTGTGGCTAAGTCTCAAATATGAAGTGAAGTATGAATCTTATGAAGTCTTCCCATGGAGATAAGTGTAGGAAAATAAGTAAATATTGCGTAATAGGTGTAATGTTCACTTTGTATATTCAAGAATAGTTGATATTATGAGGATAGGCATAGTCCAGAATAATGTTTGCTGCTGCCATAATGCACTTTTCTAATTGTTATTTGCAGGATAACTTGTATTACCTACCCACTCTGATCAGCCAGGCAGTAGACTTCTTCCAAGCTAGTTTGGGGTTTAAAAAAATTCTTGCTTTCCAAGGCAACTTACAGTTCACTAGCCTTTATTTAAAAAAAAAACAAAAAAAAAAAAACCAACCCCCCAACAAAACCAAAAAACAAACCACCTGACACAAAAAACCCACACCAAAAGCCAGCTCTTCTCACCCCCCTGCTGAGTTCAGCTGCTGTGTGTTGTGACTTCCATAACTTGCATGTGGTAACCTATCCTAGTCCTTTCTTCCGAGCTAGAAAAAGGCTATGGTTTCTTGTACAGAAACTAACAGTGCAGCTGAAAGAGGCAGTCCGATGTCCCTTCTCCACTGTTCACTTGCTTCCTTGTGGCTTCAGAGGACAAGAGTGTAAGAGAACAAGTAAAGCAGAAAACTGTTCACATCAACTCTCCTTTCTTCAACATGTGCAGCGTATCTAGTGGGGGTAAGGCTCAGGCATTTCTAAAGTCTAAATGGCTGCATAATCGCTATAAATGGTTTATCTTGTGTTCATGCAGGAGTTTATGCCTTACTGTATGTGCTGTTAACAAGGCAGGACATTCTGTGTGCACTGATTACAGATTACTGCTGCTTTTCTCCAGTGTCGAAGTATCTTCCACTTCAAAAACTTATGTTCAAGATTCTTGTTTGTAGGCTGGCTTAGGACTCCCCAGTGCAGTTGCAATTTTTCATGAAATAACACTTGAAAATACCATCTTGTGTTATTAGGTTCCTAATTTGAACTGGGAGATACAGAAAATAAACAGCTTTATTCCTCATTGTATCTGACAGAAGAACTGGTTTCTGGTTTGGTGTGTGCCCTGCTAACTCATTGGTAGGCTTTTGCTGTGT